AATGACAACTTGGTAGTTTGGTTTGCCAATGCTCTGATTCGGTTCCCAATCAAGTTACTGGAAATAGTAATAGGACGAGCAAAACAATATATATTTCACCTTCTTGATTACTCGCTGCATCCATGAATGCCTTTCAAAGTCTCATTAGGTCCTTCAATTTTACAAGTATAAAAAAAGGATTAAAATCAAGAGAATGAACATGTTCAGCTATCGTTGATTTTACTCATGAATATCTACTTAGAAAACACCGAGCAAAGTATCAAACTCGAATTATTAGATGTTAAAATTTTCTGTTTTTGTTTAATCTTTCATCCTGGATATTGAAGCTTTTTCCAGATGAATATGTCGTTTGGTAATAAACGAGGTTTTCTGTTATATTTATCATTGTTCTTTGATTCGAATTTTATGCAGCAAGGATAAAAATTCAAATGTCATCGTTCATATTTTTTTTTGCTACATCATAAAAATTTCTTTTAGATTTAATAATTATGTCATCAATAATCGGAGCAATAAACGGATAATGGGTTTGTCCATCATCAATAAAAGAATTGCTCGCAATTCGCACGTTGATTCATTAACTAATTAGTTACCTAAATTGAATAAGGTGTAAGCTAAAAGAGCTTATATTTTTAAATTTATTCACTGAAAAAAAAAACACCTGACATTCTTTCCTTTCGTTCCATTCTAATCAAAAGTGCGCCATTTACTTCTGTCTTATTTTTTTGCTTATTTAAGTTTGATCGAACACAATTTGATAAGGGTCATAATACATCAGGACATGGCCGCATAAAAGCTAGGATTATTTGCAAAGATGTGTTTACAATCTTATCAAGAATCAAAGGTAGTCAAAAAAGATCGCGAACGGAAATACTTTTAAAAGTGCTAGAATATGTTTAGACACGATACATTAGAAAGAGAAAGAACTGTGATTGATACGATAGAAGTCTCTATAAATGATATATGCGATTGCTTATTCAAGTTGTCTTTCAGCAGTCTCTTGTCGTTCTGGTTCTACTGTTGATTGAAGTTGGTGTATTCTCCAGCTTCGTAAATAATCAACCATGGATTCATCGGAACGATCAACAATTAAAAAGGCTTGAATAGCTCCATCTTCATATCCGACAACTAATATTCGTCCATCATTTGTTGCAGTACCTTGCCGAACTTTAGCTGGACATTTCATATCAACTAATTGAGGACCATCTTTTGCACGAAATACACGTATTGTTCGTTTACCTTTATGATAATATATAACATGTTCATTGGTCGGAGTAAAAAATGCCATTATATCAAATACACCTTAAGCTATTTTCGGAATTAATGTTCGAACTACTTTTCCATTTCGAAAATCAAATATCTCAAGACCACCACGCGTTGGAGCATATAAACCATATCTACCATTGGATGATATTTGACCACCCCATTTTGGTAATGTTAAATGAACCTTTTTAGACTAAAATTTAAAAAAAAATTAGCTCGTTAATCCAGTTGTAATAGAAAGAAAAGCAATGCAAGATAGTACTAATACAGATATATCAAATTCATTTCTTTACTTTGACTGAAACCTTCTTGCTCTTTCAAAAAATTCGTACGGTCACCTTAATTAAAAAATTCTGCTAGAATCAAATTCTCTTGAAGTCAATAGAGCCGAAACTTTCAGTAACATCGGTGAGTCAAATCAGACTGTTTCTTTAATAAAAGAATCGTATATTTCTCGCTTA